CACTGCATTGGAGACAGGATACACCCGAGACAGGATAATATGGCCATCAACCGCTGGAATGGATTTTGATATGGGAAACAGCAGTCTTGAATGCAGTGGGAGTTACCTGTAATGTCGCGTACGAGCGCCAACTAGGACTGTCGATGCGGCCAACCCGTAGACCTGCCACGAGGGTTGTCAGCAACCCTTCCCCGCAACACAACTAGGGTCGCGGATAATGTACGACCGTACAATAATACCATACATTGAATGTCATAGGCACTGTATAAGTTGTCAATCCGCCAATATCTCGGTCGTCGACATGTTTACGAGCGTCAAGCCGTTCTTCCGCGGGACGAACTTTGCCGTCGACCGCTTCATGAAGGCGATGGTTGACGCGAACGCCGGTCTCACGGAAGCCCCGGCGTCGACTGCGCACGCGCTGTACGTCTTGCTCCGTGCGCTCGTCCGCGACGCGACGCTCGCCAACGCCGTTATGGCGAGCGCGATGGCCGAGAAGAGCCGGCTGCAGTGGCTGGCGCTGCACAAGGCCTGGATGCACGAGGCCACGACGACCGACGTCATTGCGAAGAAGAACTTCGCCAACCTCGTCCTCGCGTCGGACACGTTCCACGACCGCGTCGCAGCGCTCTTGAAGATGTCCAAGGCTGCGACGTCCGCCAAGGGCAGCTTCCTCGGCGCCGCGGACTATGACAAGATCCGCTTGGCGGTTCTCGTATCCAACGTCGCCGTGGAGCTCGTCAACACGAGCGCGGCAGCGGCGACAGGCGCGGCGATCGAGACAGGCGCGGTGGCGGCGACGAGCGCGGTGGCGGCGACGAGCGCGGTGGCGGCGACGTACCACGTCCTGGCGGACGCGCCGCTCTTCCAGGCCGTCCTCGAGATCGTCGAGGCGACGGGCATGCTGCCGCAGCTGCCGCAGCTGATCCAAGCCGCCATGAACGGCAACCAAGTCGTGCTGCCCACGGTCGAGGCGTCGCCGCTGGTCGGAGGGGAGTACCGCAACCTGATTGCGCACACGCCTTTCCGCGAGAACGAGCCCGACTTGCTGTATTATACTGCGACGAAGCCGAATGCCACGACGGACGATAACGCCATCGACTTGAGCAAGACGGGCGATCTCGCGCCGGTGGCCGAAACACTTGTGGCAGCCGCCGCACCGGTGGCCGAAACACTTGTGGCCGCACCGGTCGACCGCCTCGTGGCCGCGGTCGACGATCTCGACTTGGCCAACAAGTCGCACGCGGCCATGCAGACAGCGTTTGAAGCAACGGCTTCGGACTTGCAGCGGGTCGCCAACGACCTGCGCGCGTTGACGCAAGCCGTCTCGGTCGTGCCGACGCTCAACAGCGCGGCGATGGAGGCGCAGGCGCAAGCTTTCAACGCCCAGCTGGCGTCAATGCGCTTCGGCGCCGAGCAGCAGATGGCTGCGCTGGCCAGCACGTTCCATAACACGCTTGTGACGGCCTTTGGCGCCGCGGCAGGCCAGGCCGCCAACATGGCGGCCTATGTGCACCACTTGGAGCAGCAAAACGCGTGGCTGCAGGCCCAGTTGGCCGCCCAAGGCGCGCCAGCGCAGTGGCGCGCTGCTCAAGGCGCGTCGGACGTGGACATGTCGGCCGTGGACATGGAGGATGGCTTCTATGATGACGCGGCGCCGTCTACGGCACCAGCACCGTCACCCTTTGGCCAACATGCGCCGCCGCAAGCCGTACGCCCATCTGCCACCCTCGACAGGCTATTCATCATCGCGTTTCTGTATAGGACACGACGCCCGCGCGCGCCGAGGGCAGCATCAACGAGTCGCTCCTCGGTCTTCTGAACGAGATGCCAGCGGCCAAGGCGCGAAGCAAGGCGACTCCTGCCCCACAGCCGGCAACGGTATGGATACCTTCATCTCTACCTCGGTTTTCCTACTTGTATATCGCAGGGCACCAACCCGTTTGCCCCGTTCCCAGCTCGCAAGCGCCCCGCCGGACCGCCCATGCGTGCCCCAGCAGCTAAAAAGCCAACCCATTTCTAGGCTGTTGTCCTCTGATATTACACAGTGGTTTCGAGTTGGATTGCGAGTTGCTATGTGCCATCGACCGCTCGCGACGCCCATGCCTACGCACGCGATAGTCGCGTCTGCTAGCATGGCCGAGAGAAAACTAGGCGAGGACCGAGCGGCAGCGCATGAGCGTCGACCATGGCGCGCGACGGCCCACCTTCC